TGCATACATACACACACATACATACAGTATATATAAACATACACACATACATACACACACATACATACATATACATATATATATACATATATTTTTTTCAAGATTATTATTATTATTATTATTATTATTATTGGCGCCACAACTGGGTTCAATAATCGGCTGTATCCCTTGCTTTGCCATTTCGATAGGTGAATAGGCCCTAATTGTAAGTCCAAGTCCAAGCATTATATACATATAATGGTTTTGCGACATCTATTATTTATATATAATGAAATGTAAAAGCAGTTAATTATAAATAATGAGTTTGAAGTCAATTATTATTATTTTTTTAATTATAATTTTTTTTAACATACATATAACAACATAATATAGTATAATGCAGTATTACAATAACAAATCTCATCTTCTAGTAAAAAGGAAAAAAAATTAGCATTACAAAATCCATAACCAATATAATATACTGTACTGTAATATAAAATTTAATTAAATTAAAATTAAAATTAAGTAAAAATTAAACTAATATATATATATATATATAATAATAAATAAATAAATAAATAAATAAATAAAATTAAAATAAAATTACACACAGAAAAAAAAAAACATCTTTCAAATGTAAAAATTAATTTACCAGTTTCATTTGCAGTACTTTTCTCTTAAGGCTTTTTTTCCCTTTTTTACAGAAAAGGGGGTGGGGAGAAACATAATATTTCATATATATACACACACACACACACAGCTCTAATCAATTTCATTTTTTTTAATTTATTTTTTTTTTTAATTTTATTGTTTTATCTTTTTTTTTTTTGCATAAATCAAAATTGTAAATTGTAAAGGAAAAATCAACACCCATTTCATTGTTAATTTACTGCTTGTACAGTATATATATATATAATGAAATGTAAAAGCAGTTATTTATAAATAATGAGTTTGAAGTCAATTCGTTATTTATATATAATGAAATCAGTGAACTTATTATATATAAATAATTGTAAGTTGCTTTTCATTTATATTATATATAATGTAATTAGCGAACTTAATATATATAAATAATTGTAAGTTATTTTTCATTATTTATATATAAAGAAATTCAAATGAAACTTGATATAGGCTTAATTGTACGTAACATAATGTGCAAACCACATAACATAATGTGCAAACCACATAACATAATGAGGAAACCACATAACATCATGACCAAACTACATAACATCATGACCAAACCACATAACATAATGAGAAACCACATAACATCATGACCAAACCACATAACATAATGACCAAACCACATAACATAATGAGAAACCACATAACATAATGACCAAACCACATAACATCATGACCAAACCACATAACATAATGACCAAACCACATACCATAATGACCAAACCACATAACGTCATGGCGATTGTACATAATAGGGTGTTTGCACATAACCGAAGATACTAACGGCGTTCCATAGTTTTTTGGTAAACTTTATATACCTGCCCTAGAGTGAGAGAGAGAGAGAGAGAGAGAGGCCTAGGCTAGGCTGGGCAAGGTCATAGTTGAACAGTCAAGTACACAATGAAAAAGCGCTCTATTCAAAATGAAATGAATTGTTTATTCCCGTCGTGTTAATGTTAAAATGACAGCTTCACTCAAATCGAACCATCTTGAATTTGATTTAGGCCTATATCAAGTTTACTTTGTAAGTATTTGAAACTATTTAAAGCGTATTTTAAACAAGTAATGCATACATACTGTTCCTAGGCCTACGAGGGCTAGGCTAGGTAGGCCTAGGCCCTAGCCTAGCTAGCTAGCCTAGCTAGGAGGAGCCGCCTAGCTAGCTAGGCTAGGAGGAGCCCTAGGCTAGCTAGCTAGCATACCTGCATGGCTCCCCTTAGCATAGGCCTAGAGGCTAACCTACTGTATTGGCCTAGGCGAGGCACGTACGTACGTACGTACGCACGTACGTACGCACGTACGCACGAGGAGAGTAGGGCCTGTCCAACCTAGGCCAGGCCTCTTTCTGATTCACATTTTATTGTAGTTAGTGTATGTCTAGGGGCCTAGCTAGGAGGCTAGGCCTACTACTACTAGGTCTACTATACTAGAGTAGTAGTACTAGGCCTACTAGGCTACATCAGGTCTGGCTACCTGTGCCTCTCTAACCTACCTACTGTGTAGGCTAGTCCCAACGGCCTCAATAAGTGGGGCGGTGCAGGTCAACTCGGCCACAGTCAACTCGGCCACAAGTCAACTCGGCCACAAGTCAACTCGGCTACAGCCAACTCGGCCACAAGTCAACTCGGCCACAAGTCAACTCGGCCACAAGTTATTTAATGTAAATCTTAGTTTTTGCATCCTTTTTCTTCAATATATGATTGAAATAAAGTACACAGTATGTTTTAGTAAAACAGGACCACCACACTACCAAAAGAGATTTGAATGCTATTGCCTATGAATTAAAAAGAGTTAGTAAGTAACGACAATAAATTAGTAATATTTACATTATTAATACTAATTAGTCATTATGACGATAATAAATGTGATAACAACAACAACATTAATACTAATATTTAATATTTATTTTAACAAATAGTAATAATACTAGTATGGTAATAATAACGATATTTAAATATCAATTTTAATAACTAATTAGTGATAATAACGATATTGAAGGTGATAATAGCAATAATACAACAATAATAAATTAAAGATAATGTTTATTTTTATAATAATAGTATTACTAATTAGTAATAATAATAATAATAATGATACTTATAATACTAGGCCTACTTAGTAATAATAGGGTAATAGTATCGATAATAAAGGTGACAACAACAACAATATTAATAATAATAATAATTATATGAGAAAAATACTAATAAAACGCCCATAACAACAACTTTTTAAATTACTATTATTAAAATTATAATACTAAGACTAATAAATAATAATAATAATATGAATAATAATAATAAAAAATCGAAAATTATTTATTATTTATATGGTACTGTAATAATAATAATATCAGCAAAAATTTGAACAATATATAATGTTAATGTCAAGACTAATAATTAATATTAAAACTAACGGTAATAAAAACAACAATAATAATAACAACAATGACAACAGCAATAATAATAACAATTCAATGTAGTACCAGTAAATGACTTGTGGCCGAGTTGACTTGTGGCCGAGTTGACTTGTGGCTGAGTTAACTTTTTGGCCGAGTTGACTGTGGCCGAGTTGAATCGAATTCTTTTTGGCTGTACAAATGCATGAAGAATTGAAGAATCAGTCGTCATCAAATATTTTTAGAGATTGAAATGTATTCATCATTATCATTAAAAAAAAGAGTATCTGTGGCATGTGCTTGGTAGGGCCTATAGGTATTAATATTATTAATAATTTAATGTTGTTATTTTGTTGGTGGTCGAACAATGATTTAAACTAAAATAATGATATTTACAGATAGAGTACATGACATAACGCTGCACTCAAGTGAGTTGATGAATGGTAACCTTTCAAGAAACATTGAGAGAACATGTTTCAAATCAGTGAAGTAGATGCAGCTGATCTTAGCTTTGATGATGAAGTAAGTACTGTACAGCACTGTTACCATATATCATGTTTGTATCCATACACAATATGATATTGTGCTGTATCCACTGCTGTACAATAATATCCTGTGTTTTCAGAGCACACCTCACACATTAAAGGCTTCTCTCAAGCTCAAGGACAAAAACCTTTCCTATACATGGACATTGCCAACCAAGAAAATTACTGAACTGTGTAGGTCTATCTGTACATGTAGTTGTGTCAATAAACATGCACCATACACAGTAAATATCAGTGATTTTACCTTATTAATTTCTTTCCATCTTTAAAATCATATGCAGGATTTCTTTGATTTAAATGAACCACTTTCTGTGGGTTTGAAACCAGCAAGCATCAACAAATCTGAGCCTGCCCTCAAAGGAACAACCCATCAATCTTCAAAGACCATAAACAAGTTCAGCTTCAAGTCTAAGCAAGTCTCACCTCCCACATCAGATGCAACGTCTAAGCTCAGCACAGGTTCCCCTACCAGCCTGCCATCTTCTGGTATTTCCCCTGCCACATTGCAATCAACATTTGGCGTGAATTGTAAAGATATTCATACAAAAGGAAATGTTTCATGTGCCGGAACTAGTGCTCTGCAGAGAAAATCAACACTAGGAAATCATAATTTTAGTGTGGCAGTATCACCTTCCCAGCATACACCAAAGTCTAGAAAGTTCTGTTGGAACAAGAGTAATGCGAATGAATTAGATAATAATAATGTAAGACGCAGCAGTGGAGGCAAACATGAACAGCCTTCAAAACATTCAAGATCAGCATTGCAGATACTGCAAAAGAATTTAACGTGTAGTAATCAACATCAAGCTGTCATATCTTGCCAATCAAATCAATCAAAAATGATAAGCAATACTATGAATAATGGACCAAAAACCAACAGACCTGGATTAAGAAATACGGCCATCAGTGATAGGCAGGTGCTAATACGAAATAATAATAATAATAATAATAGTAACAGAAGTCTTCAACCATCTACATGTACAAATGTTTTAACAGGTGGACATAACATCAGTAATCATTCAAGTTCATCATCAAAGTTAAGCGAAAGACGAGATGTTACTGCAAATAACTTTTCTAGGCTTTCCAATTCAGGGACTCGAACAAATGCCAACCCACAAGAGAACCCTCATAGTAGCAATCGTGTACCAGTTGCTTATGGTACAATCTCCCACAATCAGAGGCCAAATTTTCAACCAAATGTATCCTCTTACACTCAAAGACATGGAACACCCTCTAACAAACATGCTTCTCCAATGCTATTCCAAGGATCTGCAGCAAGTAGATCAAGAGACAATGTTGCTAAAACACCTGAGCCAATATATACTGCAGCCCAGACACCGCACTTTACACCTAGAGTAGCAGAAATGTGCAGGACACCCAAAGCTGTCAAAGTAATGGAAAAAACAAGGCTACGAAAATTTCCAGGGCCAGCAGGCATTTTACCAAAATTAAATTTAGTGAGTAAAATGGTGACTACAAAGATTTTTGGATTGTATTAGATTTGTTGTTTGTATAGGCAGTTGTACAGTAGCTTGGTGTCTTTAATGATCACTTTCCTGGGTTCAAATACTAAAATACTCACAACTAAATACAAATTCACACCAAATAAGAACTCATTTATAATATCAAGACCTTCTGTTTTTTAAGTGAGCAGTGAGTCATCCACTGTGGATTGAATTAACAACATAATAACTAATACATTTTATTGTGAATTAATGTTAACTTAAATATATGTTCAACTAGTTTAAAGACAGTTACAGAACAACAAATCGGTCTGGGACAGCTACAGAAAAATAGAATGAATGGAATCAGCTCTCCTTATGACAAATATAGTAATTGTAAAATACAATTAAAATACAGCAAACATTTACATTCTTTGAAATATTATTACTAAACATTAATAATTATAAAACTTGCCATTATTTTCAAATAGGGTAATAGTGAGAAGCAATTTGATGTGATTCCACCTGAACCAGAGGAAACTAAAGATGAGAAGATGGTAAGAAACATTGATTGGATACTGGAGATATGCCAAATTATAAAAATGCTTCATTCTAAGAACACAAACCTTAAATGGTTTTACAGTCTAACTTGAATAATTTCAAAGTAGATGTTATTTTGCATGCCAAATTGTTTTCTATTAATTAATGACCTGTAAGTCAAATTTTGTCTAAGACAATTTTTCAATGACATTTTGGATTCGACTTCCAACTGTTATTTGCTTTACTGTTTTGTATTTTTATCTGGACACCATTATTGATGTGACTAGCATAACTCTCGTCAGTCGACATACTGTAAACAACCATATAACACACACAGCATATTGTAGGCCTCCAAGGAGGCACAGTCTTTTTTTATAATCATCTAAAGTGAATAAATGTTATTTTGAAATGTCTAACCACTTTGCCATACACTTCCTCCATCATCCCCATCTCTGCAGCCCACCAGAAAGATTTTTTTTTTTAATTAACTAATTTAAATTAATCCACTTTACAGGCTGTAGCAAGTTCACAATGCACAGCAGTGGTTGATGACTTCAGTTCTGGAGCTTGGAAGACAATGCTTCGAGTTTTGGATATTGACGCTAATGATCCCCACTCAATCCTCAATCAGAACAACATTGCTCTTGTCATGCGCAAGGTACAATGCTGCATCACTGCCACGAACAGTTTATGTAGTTGATACCTTTTTAGGATATTTAATGTAGACAAATATTATGAATGGTATTGTATGTGTAAATGTCAGTGGCACATTCAAGGTGGGGTGGGGGGGAGCTGGCGAGCTGGCTCAGTTCTCTCTCCCCCCCACCCAAAATTATTTTTAAAAATGGGAAAAGCTCACCCCCACCCCCCCCACCCAAAATTATTTTTAAAAATGGGAAAAAAAGAAAATTATAATCAAGGCTAGGTTTGAGGGCGCCATTTCTGGCCATCTAGAGGTGCCATAATTATAAATTTTCTTACGTCAGCCCAACCATAGTGAGGCTGAGGTGGTCTAGACACTCCATCCCTCCCTGGGCCCCTCTGTTTTGAGGTCCTGGATCCACTAATGAACGTAGATACAAATCTTCCACAAACTGACAACTAAGCACTTGTTGTGCTGACTGTGGTGTATCTATGGGGGTGGAGGGGCATGAATGTTGGAAGGCAGAAGCTTTAAGGAACTAGAAAATGTATAGTAGTATCCAGTTGTCTGGTCTATACTTGTGCCTGTCCTTGTTACCTAAAGGAACAGACTTCAGACTTCCAGGGGTTATTCTTGATGTGTCATACACTGATGAATAAAAAACAACCAAGAACCAACTTTAGGTCTCTGCTTTTCCAGGCTTCGTTGAAACAACTGCAGCAGAACAAGGTAGTCCATCTCTGTGTTCTACTGAAAAATATTCACTTCAATGGAAGCGATGCCAGCAGTATTCTAAAAGATCCGACCGGAGAGATACAAGGAACCTTGCACAGGAAATTGATGGAGGACCACAAGGATGAGTTGAGGCCAGGATGTGTACTCATCCTAAGACAGGTGAGGGATTGGTGTTTTCCCATTGTCATTCATATTTGTCTTTTTTTGAGACTTTCTTCTGACCCTGAATATGCTTTCCAGTATAGGTTTTCACCTATCAGTTCTAACGACTGAGTTCAAATCTTAACATAATCAGAGGACTTTAAATTTCATCATAATGAGTTGTAGCACTGTGGTCCACAGCTCACACATTTAATGTTGCTTTTGTCCATGCCATTATTTAATTATAACTTAATAAAATTAAATGAATAAAATAATAGAAATAGTGCTTGATCTACAACACCGTTCCGCAAACCTGTGGGCCACGACACAGTGTTTGGGTCGCAAAAACAATTTGATGGGTCGCATATCTCTTCAAATTGTGGAAAATCATTATGAACGAAGACAAAGAAAATCAACATTACAGTAAAGAAACGTGCATAAAAGTGTGCACGAGTCAGAGTACTTTTGTAATACGTTTGATATCAATAGTTTCATTTTCAACAATATACTATCAAAACACTATTTGTACTTCAGTTATGACAACTTGAAAGTTTTAGTTTTGCTTACATCAATGTGTTTGGCTTTCAGGTGAAAATTATAGCAACTTTTTCTCATCAATTAGTGTGTATACTAGTCTTCCAATAACCCATATATTTCTGGCAGCAAATTTAAGAATTTATTTTTGTAGTAAAAATTCTGTAATAACTTAACTTAGATTTAATAACTGATCTCCGCTATTGCTCGTGTAGTGTATAAAATTTAATTTGGGATTTGGACTAAAAAGGTTGCGGAACAGAGATCTACAATATTACATGAAAAAAAGTAATTTATGTCCCCTTTTTTAACAGGTTGGTGTTTTAAGCCCATCTCTCAGGAACCATTACCTAAACATCACCCCAAGCAATTTAGTTCATATCTTTCCAATGGAGGCTGAAGCTAGTAGACAGGTGGAGCAATGTTCAAAGCAGCCTGATTCAATTAAAAAAAAACAGCAAGAGTCAACTACAGACACTAAAAATCTACACCTAAAAGAATTCTTTAAACAGATAAATCATGAGCTAACAAACGAAGTACATCAACAAAATACTGTGATGCCAAAGCCAAAACTCCTGAAGACAAGCCAGGAATTGGCTTCTCGCAGCAACCTCGTGAAATATGACTCATTAGGAGACACTGGGCGTGCTTTCAAAGCAAATTGTGCAACAATAAATGTTACCGCAGACAAACACAAAATAAAGAGGAGCTTGCAGGAGGAGGATAAGTCGGCCAAAAGATTTTGCACCGCTAATGACACAAAGCACAGAAACAGTTCAGGGACAAACAATGATTTAGGTGAAAACATCGAGGAACTGCTACAAGGCATCGAGGAAGAGTTATTTGACGATTTTTGAAAAATGCTTTTACTTTAAACTAAAACAGATTACTAAATAATAATACTGTCAAGATACTGCATGATTCCTTGACAGCCTTTATTCACTTTTATAACATTTATTATAGTGAAAGCACCAGACTGTTAAAGACAGAATGCTTTAAAAAGATTTTAATATAGGATTTGCTATTTCAAAGTATTATAATCAAGCCAAAAAACCCAAATAAATACAGTATTATTAAGTCCTAAAATTAATAAGACAATGAAGCCTTGTGTTTTAATGTAAATAGATAATTGATAGCTGATTAACTAATAGTTTTTTTTAATGTTTGTAATTGACAAGGTACTCTACAGTGTACAGTATGTTGGCATTTAACAAGTGTTGATTTGGCAATATGCCTGATCGTCTCGCCTCTGTATATCCTGTTGTTTCTTAATCAAGGTCAATATATTGTACACATTTGGCTGATACAGAATAAACTGGATGAATACATCTGATACTCAAACATGTTTTGATATATAGAGTTGTATACAGTTGAGGTGTTCTCATGTTCATATTGGGACTTTATATAGAAATCCATCATAGAAAATTATGCAATTTTATATTTACATTTTCAAACTAAATTATGTTAATCTTGTGTATTTCAAATATATAATTTTTATTTTATTATACTGTATGCATGTTTAAGTTAGCATCATATTATTACTAATACTATGGAGTGTTTTGCTAGATCTTGTAATAGTCGTAAGCAAAATTGTTGCATTAATTAATTCCAGGCAGGTAAGACTGTTTGAAACTCATTCTAAAGAGTAGAAACAAAAGAACATGTTTCAAATCATTTATAACACTTTATTCCAAATGTTTATGACAGCTAATACTGTAATAACAATAGTAACCTATATTAATGATCCTGAGGCATGACGACTTTGTCCACACACTCCGCTATGGGAAATTGTAGGAAAAATTATTTTTATTTATATTATACTGTATATATTTTTTATTACACCTACCACCATGAAATCTCCCTATATGAAATCTTTATTTTTTCCTCGCATTGAAATGATATAAAAGGAAGCATTAATTTGCTTATCTCACATAAAATGCTCTTTGTATTTCACCTCTACTTAAATGCATTTGGCCTTTCAAAGGAGTGAATAAGTCTTGCCTTTAATTTTAATAAAACCACAGCAGTAATAACATTTTGAAACTTTTATTTCGGCACTTATTCAAGGGCACCACATATTTCATATACTATGATTAACGCTGTAACACTTCAAATTATTAACACATTAGGAAAGTACCTGAGTGTGCACCACTTGTCGAGAGGGGTGCTAAGTTGCTTATTCCAATTTTTTTTTCTGTGATTAAACTAAAATTTATGAAGAATTGATTTTGTGCACAGAATGGAAATTAATTAGCTTCCTATTCTTCCATATTTTATCAAAACCAACCAGTTTCTGTTACAAATTAATTAAATTAATTATACTGTATAATTTTTATTCATGATTAAAAAAGAGAATCATTAATAAATATTCAAGGTGTTTGTGACATGTCGCCACCTCTAGAAAAAAAAAAAAAAACGATTCAAATTGATTTTGTGCCTGACAAAAATACACTTTGACTGGCTGAGCCAGATGTTCCCGATGACTAGTGTCCCAGCTAGCTCACCCGCTGGCGACGCCACCATTCAAATAGAATTTACAACTAAAATAAATTTAAACCACAAAGTTATATCTTTCTGAATATTGGTAAATAAATTAGAGTTTAATAATAAAATTGCTGAATTTAAAATTAAAATAATTCTTGTATTAAATATTCATTAGCCAAGCCCAATCACAAAAAGTATACCAGTATGCATCAGCCAATCTGAAAAATAATATGCAAATATCAGTTAATCAGAGTAGACATTTTCACCCGTTGATCATATTCTGCAGCTCACTGAAGGTGGCAATTACATTTACTTTAGTTTTTTACTTTTAGCTGCCTGTTGTTTCAGAGCAATGAGGTCAACGAATAAGTTGCGGTCCAACACGGCACCTGCGCACATTAGACCACCAAACAGACCCCCAGCAAAGCCACATGTCATGATATCTTGACCTAAAAATAGAAATACACACAAAAAAAAAAGATTGGTATTTGTCACTGATTATGCAGTAAATTTTTAGCTTCCTCTAATTTAAATGTGAAATGCAGGAATTCCATAATGGAGAAAGGCTGCAGTTTTTTTATCTATTGTAGTAAGGAAACTGCAAATTTTTAAATTTCAGGACAATGGTCAATCGCTAAAGACACTCATCCCTTAAGATACCCCATTGATTTTGTTGATACAACTAATTTTATTATCATTACACGATCACATGCTGCAAAGAAACACACCACCCCTATCTCCCCATGCTCTTACAGGATACCCCATCCACTTTGTGGGTAGAAAATTATCATTAATCATAAAAAGCAGTAGCGTAGGTATGGGCAGTGCAGCCAGTGCAAAGCACTGGGGCCCAGGGCGTTTAGGGGCCCGTTCATATAGACCTAAAAAATACTTTACATTAAAAATTCCTACTTAAATTTTTCCTTCAGTAATATTAGGTTTTAGAGGCCATAATAATATTATAGATTATATTCATTACAATTTACTTATTACGTGCCATCAAACATTGCAAGTAGGAGGACTTTTTACAAAACATACATGCTATGAACAGCTTCGTAATACAATCAATGTCATTTTCTTCCATTAGGTATTTACGTATGCGTCGTGCCAAAGTATGATGCGCTAAAATACTTTTTGAAAGCATATTTCTTAAAACAATTAAAATATCGGCATGCACGTTCTTGTTTGATATTTTAAAGATGATTCAATTATATTGTGCATGTTTTTGAATCACGTCAGGTCACCATACTTCATGAATAGGCCTGTCTCTGGGTCTGATCAGCAATCATCAGCAATTATCTTGCATTGGGGCCTGTCACCACCTTGCTACGCCGCTGATAAAAAGCTAGACTTGCCACAAGTCTCTTATTAAATTTTTTTTATTATTTTTCTCATTCTGGACAGCGCCACCAACGAGAAAGTTAATTTATAGATGGAATAAGCGACTTGTAAAACACTGAAATCAGGCACCAGGATGCCGAAAGAATGACGTAATCTTATATTCCGTATTTGGATAAATGGGCGGACCGAAATAAACAATTTCAACCAATCAAATGTTCATA